ATTGCAGAAATGGTTTTTAAATGGTTTTTAAATGTGTTTTATGCTTGGGCTTATACCTGTTTGTGAGCTGCCCTGAGCCCGCGTTGCGGGGAGGGTGGGCTATAAATTGAATTTATAAATAAATATAAATAAATAGACAGAGACAACCTGGTTGTAGCCCCAAGGGATATGCCCACTTGTAGGGCTTTGTTTTGATGGAGTCCCCCATGCCCTTTAAAAACATTTCTTTGTTTAGGGTACAAATTAGAGTTGCCAAATCTGAGGCGAAGAATCGCACAACACTGCCAAATTCAGATCCTCGAGGAGACACACATTTTTTGGACAATGCATGGTCTTAGAAAACTGCTCCTAGATTTCAGGCTCTGTCATGTATGCTGGCCTGACAAGTTCTCTCTTGCTTAAAGGCTCAAACAAGGGGGGCGGGGAGGGGGAATGTGAAGATTCTGTTTACCGGAGTGCTGCTATTAAGCTGGAATATTTCAGGTAAATCTCACTTTGGGAAGGGGTTTTGTTTCCCAAACAGCAGGAAACTCTTTTAAGGGTCATTGTAAAAGTGAAATTAAATGTGTTGTGTTTTTTTTAAGGTAAGAAACAGCCTTCCAAAGTAATAGTGAAGAAATGCATTCAAGAATTGGCAAAGTAAAGACTGCGAGGCCTAAATGACCTGTACTTTTACCATCACGGAGGCATTATCACCATGGTAAGCTGTGAAAAGAGGACAATGGCCTCTAAATCCCGGTTCCAGTGCTGTAGCCAGCAGCCCCATTTCCATTTTCCTATTGTATTATTTTATCCGCAGACGTCAGGGGAAAATGCTTTTAAGTGAAAGGCGCGGAACGGCAGGGTATGCTTTCCCCCTGGGTAACAAATACAGTTTTTTTTTGGGGGGGGGGCTCTTCCTGTGTTCCTTCATTTGTCTTCTTACAAGAAAACTGGGCAAACAAGATATTTTAATAGTGGAAGTATTTTTTCCCCAAAAGATTTTTTTTTAAAGACTTAATGAAATAATACCAGTCCAAGAATGCCTCCCCCACCCCGGTAATTCTTGGAGGCTGATGCAAAAATAGGGTTGCCAAATTGGGCCGGGGGGCGGGGAAACCCCCGCTTTGGAGGCCCGATTTCCGCCATGGCGGAATCGTGCCCCGGGGGAAACCCTACCCCCGCGTGCACGTCACAGGAAAGTGACGTTATGACGCCGGGCACGCTGGGGGCGGGGCCACAGCCTCAAATGGCTGTGGCCCCGCCCCAGCGTGCCCGGCGGCATGATGTCACTTCCCTGTGACGTGCATGCGGCGTACACGCGCACACGCCGGGAGCCGGGCTGGAGTCCCCCGCCACAAGGGTAAGTGCCATTTGGCAACCCTATGCAAAAAGATACACTATGAACTGAGGTTTTCCATGTCTGGGGAGTGAAAAGGGGTCTCCTCGCTATATCCCAGCTCCCTCCCCGGGTTGTGAGGTCCACCCCGGCCACCAGTGGGGGATGTGGGGGTTAGAGCTGCCAGAACCATGTTGGGAAACTCCTAGAAATTTGGAGTTGGAGCCTGGGGAGGACAGGGACCTCAGTGTAGGACAATGCCATAGGGTCTACCCTCCAAAACACCCATTTCCTCCAAGGGAACAGATCTCTGTAGCCTGGAGATGAACTGTAATTCCGGGGGGGATCCCCAGGTCCCACCTACAGGATGGCATCCCCCTCCCCCGGTGTTTCAGTAAAAGTGTCATTTTAAAAAAAGTGGTAAAGGACCTAGGTGTTTTACATAGCAAAACTGAAAGTAGCGTATTATGGGTGGAGAGCTAGAATCAGGGGCGGCTCGGTGGGGCCTGGCCCCCTGACTTCCATGCTGCCCCCAGCCCCCCCAACTGTCTGGACCACCTGGAGGACTCCCCACTGCCGCCCCTTCCCCAAGCACAGCTTGCTTCCCTGTGTAGGCAAGCAGACTGCAAATGCTGCAAAAGTGAGTTTTTAAAATTTTATTTTTATTTTATTCTTTATTTTGTGATGTCAGTGCCCCACGACTTAGTTAAAGGCCCCCCGAATTACAAAGAGAGAGAGAGAGAGAGAGAGAGAGGAGAGAGAGAGAGAGAAAGAGAGAGAGAGAGAGAGAGAGAGAGAAAATAGTACTGAACTTTGAACACTGCATAGATACTAATTATTCTTAGATATCAGATGGAAGAGATAAAAACCTGGGATCAGTCCTTTTTAACACCTTCAGCTCTCAGTGTGTACCATGCACAGAGAACAATGTTGTTACCATGATCATATGGAAGGAAATATAAAACTTGTGTACTTTGGATCATATGAAAGGAAATATAAAACTTGTGTACTTTGGATCATATGATCATATGAAAGGAAATATAAAACTAGTGTACTTTGGATCATATGAAAGGAAATATAAAACTTGTGTACTTTGGATCATATGAAAGGAAATATAAAACTTGTGTACTTTGGATCATATGATCATATGAAAGGAAATATAAAACTAGTGTACTTTGGATCATATGAAAGGAAATATAAAACTTGTGTACTTTGGATCATATGATCATATGAAAGGAAATATAAAACTTGTGTACTTTGGATCATATGATCATATGAAAGGAAATATAAAACTTGTGAATTCTGGAAGGATAGAAGGGGGGAATGCATAAGTAGCACTTGTCATGCTACTGCTAGCTGCACGATCAGATCTAGAGCCCTGTCTAAAGGTGTGCATTGTGCATACTGTTTATTTTCAGCCACTTTAGTTCTTACTGAAAAGTTTTGATTCTTCGAAAGCGCAAGTCTTGGAAAGTGAATAAAATAGCCCATGAAACTGTCATTTCTGAAAAATGCACCGTTCTTAAAAACATTAATCTTTTTCAAGGCAGAACACAGATTCTAAGTGTCCATGTGACTATTCACTGCAAACATCTCAAAATTTAAAGGGCCGGGCCCGACTGCTTCTGATCCAGATAAAAAGAACAGATTTCCTGCTATCTCAGTGATTGCAAAGATAAACTGTTAATTAAAACACTCACATACGAACCCCTGTTCCTTAGTAAAATAGTAGTTTGCTGATTCTTTAGGACATAATCCACATATAGAACAGATATTAAGAGGATTTAAATATCTCTACAAATTGTTCATAAAGTTGAAAAAGCTGAAGTACATTAATTTACTGTCTGTTCAGCTGACTAGAAGGAAAGCCATATTTTAATGGAAACAACTTGCTCAGTTAAGAAAGATTTTTTACATATGAAAGGAATCTAGTTGTCATACTATTCCCACGGAGAACTGAGAAAATGCAAATTAATGATGACGGAAACAATCACCGGATTGACTCCCCCTCCCCCTGAAGTGGTATATAAGATGGCATTTTGCCTTATTCTACATATTAATTGGATCTGAGCCATTTGCATCGTTTCCGGCACTAAATACCTTTTTTTAAAAAAAAAAGAAACCCAAAGTGTTTTTTTAAAAAGCCTGCCTATTGGGAAAAACCAATTTAAAAAGAAGCCTTGTGGTACCTTAAAAGTAAACAGATCCATTAAAATAAACTTTTCAGGGCTACAATCCACTTAATCGGCTGCAAACAAACAGACAAAAACAAAACAAAACAAAACAAAACAAAGGATTTACCGACAGAAGAATACGTACAGGCAGAGGGCCAGTGTCCTCTCATGGGCCCTATCCTTCCGTCCCAGTAAATCGACACTGGGGTTGGATTGTGAAATACTTTTCGAGCTGATTAATTTGGTCCGATTTCAGTTGGTGAAAATAAATGTAATTATATGAAGACGGGTAGCCGTGTTTGTCTGTCACAGTAGAAAAGAGCAAGAGTCCAGTAGATTTGGATCTTTCCAACAAGTAGAAAAAAAGAAACCAAAAGTGTTTTTTTTAAAAGCCTGCCTATTGGGAAAAACCAATTTAAAAAGAAGCCTTGTGGTACCTTAAAAGTAAACAGATCCATTAAAATAAACTTTTCAGGGCTACAATCCACTTAATCGGCTGCAAACAAACAGACAAAAACAAAACAAAACAAAACAAAACAAAGGATTTACCGACAGAAGAATACGTACAGGCAGAGGGCCAGTGTCCTCTCATGGGCCCTATCCTTCCGTCCCAGTAAATCGACACTGGGGCTGGATTGTGAAATACTGTTCGAGCTGATTAATTTGGTCCAATTTCAATTGGTGAAAATAAATGTAATTATATGAAGACGGGTAGCCGTGTTTATCTGTCACAGTAGAAAAGAGCAAGAGTCCAGTAGCATCTTAAAAGGTAAAGGTAAAGGTTCCCTTGCTCGAAAGCCAGTCAAGTCCGACTCTAGGGTTGCGGTGCTCATCTCCGTTTCAAAGCCGAAGAGCCAGCGCTGTCCAAAGACGTTTCCGTGGTCATGTGGCTGGCATGACTAAACACCAAGGCACACGGAACGCTGTTACCTTCCCACCGAAGCGGTACCTATTTATCTACTTGCAATTTCTTGCTTTCGAACTGCTAGATTGGCAGGAGATGGAACTAGAGATGGGAGCTCACTCTGTCATGTGGCACCCGGGTCTCGAACTGCTGAACTACTGAACTACTGACCTTTGACAGCCTGCAGTTCAGCGTCTTAACCACTTGAGCCACAGCATCTTAAGGGCTAATAAAATGATGTGGCAGGGTAGGAGCTTTCATGAGTATCTGAAGAAGGTATCTGAAGAGGTGAGCAGTAATTCATGAAAACTCATCCCCTGCCACATATTTTGTTAGTCTTTAAGGTGCCACTGGACTCTTGCTCTTTTCTATTCTAATTATACAGGCTGAGAAATAAGGATTTAAAAAGGGATAGCCATAATTTCAGGATATGTGTACATTAAGACCTGTTATAATGCAATAACACTGGCTCAGATCCAGCCAAATCTAAGTACACTGAAGTCCCACTAACTGCAGAAGGGTGAGAAATGTAATAGAGCCTTTAACTTTGGCTGGATCATGCCCAGTATTTTGCGTGCCTAAAGGCAGTTCAAGATCCACTTACAGTTATGGCACGTGGCTCCGCTGTATCCCGTTCCATTGCAAGTGCACGTGAAGCTGTCCCATGTTTGGGTGCATTTGCTACCGTGTTCACAGTGATTGGGCACACACCTGTCAGGATGAGAGAACAGAAAAGAGAATGCCAAATCAACCAGAATGAAGGAGTGCCCACGTTGTAGGACTGCCCAAGCAGGGTGCCCTATAGGTGCCAGCTTGCCACGCTGCGGCAATTAATCCTCATTACCTTTAGGTAGATTAATGTAATTGATGATGGAAGATGCCAGGTGTACAAGAAGATGATATATCACACAATGTTTGCAAAGAGCCAGCAAAGGAGGAAGGAGGTGGGAAAAAGGGAGGGGGAGAAACTATTTGTTTTCATCATCGGTACATTTTTTTAAAGGTCACACTAAATACTATTGCACGTGATATAAAACTTAAAAAAAATAAGCCAAAGTAGTGTTGTGTCTTTAAAAATAATGACATCACTGAAAGTTTCTAGTCCCTTTTGCCAGAGAAATAAGAGCATATTTATTAGGCTTTTCTTTGTTTTTGTTTTACTGTCCATGTGGTCACTGCAACCTTCTCGTAGGGGGGAATGTGCCCGGAATGGAGTTCTGGAATCTCGACAACATTCTTTTAAAAAACATTTAAAAGTTCATGAGCAGCTATCTAAACTCCCACAGGTGACTATGTCAGATGCCAGGTCTGTATACTGGACTTCTGTACATAACATTCAAAACTGACAATAGTTTGTGGCAGCCGTAATTCTGCACTTCGCACACACAGTATACTATACCCATTCGTGTCTAAGCATTCCAGCACAAATCTTCCATCAGCAAGCGAAAGTAATTCAGAAGAAAAAAGAAAAAACCCGACAAGAATGCAAAATGGAGGAAATAACAAGAGGATGTATATTTGTGTCTTGAAAAGCCACAAAATGTGATTTCAAAGATTTGAGTCTGACTGGTGCCTTTTCTATCAAGTATTCTTTTAAAAATAGGAATTACCATACGACTTTTCTTGCTCTGGAAACTATTACTTTACTCTTCTTGGAGTGTGCTTTGAAACCTCATTTCAAAGAACCAATTTTTACCCCCTTTATTAAATTTCCCTGCATCCAAGTTCAGCATAGTTGCTCTATTTTCTGATCAATTTTCCTTTCATGTCGAGTTTCCCTTTTCACCCAATACAATTTTGCCACTGCGCTTTTTGCGTTATTATATTAGGGAATGATTAGGAGACCTCCTACCAATCAGGGAAATGAAAACAGTTCTGCAAAATGGAAAGGCAGTAAAAATTAAAACTATAGTTATCAGTAAGATTATTTTGATGTTCTCGGTGCCCCCATAATTGACCACATAAGCCTGGTAAATTAGAGGCAAAGGGGGGGGATCTCTTGAATATGCAGTTTATGTTATTTGACTTGTGGTTACTGAAATACTTCTGAGTAGGAGTATGATTATCCAATATTATTAAATTCTTTTTTTCCCCTGCAAGGGTGTATCTCAAATGTTTATTTTATCAGTGCGTCTCCTAACGGAGGAGTTTGTGAAAGTGAGTAATTTTGTACTAATCTGTTGGTGACTATCAAGGAACTTCACATTTATACTAAAAATTGATATGTAAATAGATTGCCCCAGCCTTTCCTCAAAAAGCATGTGACGTTACAGAATTGAAAAGTGCTGTATTGTCCATAAGCAAAGCTGTTCGCCCATTTTTGTTCATCCACACATTATAAGGCCCTGATCTCTAAAGCCGAGGCTAGCCAGATCTCAGAAGCTAAGCAGGGCTGGCCCTGGTCAGTATCTGGATGGGAGATGCCCAAGGAATACCAGGGCCTTGACACAGAGGCAACGGCAAACCACCCCCGAATGAGAGCCAGTTTGGTGTAGTGGTTAAGAGCCGAGGACTCTAATCTGGAGAACCTGGTTTGATTCCCCATGTCTCCACATGCAGCCAGCTGGGTGACCTTGGGTCAGTCACGGTTCTCTCAGAGCTCTCTCAGCCCCACCTACCTCGCAGGGTGTCTATTGTGGGGAGAGGAAGGAAAGGTGATTGTAAGCCACTCTGAGACTTTGAGTGAAGGTAGGGGTATAGATCCAAACCCCCTCCTCCTCCAAACCCTATGGGGCTGCCATAAGTCAGCTGTGACTTGACAGCAAAAACAAAACAAAACACCCCTCAGCACATTGCAAGAAACAGAAGTTGTCAATAAAACCGTGATGCTCAAACTGTGGAGCAGGGGTAGGCAGAGGGTTTCCAAATCTGGGCTGGTAAATTCCTAGAGATTTGGGGGGGGAGGGGGAGGGGGAGGGGGCG